CCCTCCCCCAGCGCGCTGTGCGAGAGGCAGGTCCCATTGGGCTCCCAGGCCTAGGCTCTCTCATGGGGAGGAGCCGGGCTTCCTTCCAGAACAGAGGGAGGCCCGGTCCCAGGACCTCTGCTGCTCTTGGGCTCCCCCGAGTGTGGGTCACGTTCTGGCCCAGGAGAGTGGCGAGGGCCAACATCGCGCCCAGGCCTGGGATTCGCTGGCTGCCAGCACGGGGCATGCGCGGATTGGCTGGCCTGGTGCTGAGCCACTGAGCCGGCAGGAAGAAGCAGGCACAGAGAGGGCCGTTAATGCCATGCCGCCCAGCAGCTCCCTGGCCGCGCGGGTTCCACCTGCAGGGGGCTCAGGGGGCTCGGGAGCTGCAGTCAGAGACACGTGCCCGTGGCCAGTGAGGGGGCAGAGGGACACGGCCAGAGGGAGAGCACTTGGTCAGGCAGAGGGGCGCTCTCAAATTCAGAACCAGAACCAGAGCCGTCGCAGAGCACAGGCCTGAGGTCGGAGGTCGCGGGCCGCCCACCAGCAGGCCCTCGCACTGCCTCCCGGTTGCTGCCCGGACGCGTCCTGGAGCCAGAGGTTGGGGCGGAGGGGCCTCCGGGAGCAGCAATGCCTCCCCAAAGGGAGCCTGTGGCTTCTGAGAAGCCAGGCGCCTGCCCCGCAGGAAGGCGTGTCCAGGAGGAACCTCCCGTGCGAAGGAGCACGGTTTTATATGTAATTCCTGGGACGGTGTCTGTGTGTGCGCAGGGGGTGGGGGAGCAGGTCATAGATGCTCCTGTCTTACCTTTCAGGGCCCTGGTCTGGCGGCTCCCAGCAGGCCCGGCAGGCGCCCAGCAGGCCGGGGGGGATGCCCAGCTCACAGCGTCCTTCCTGACCGCTCCTGGTGGCTATCGGCGGAGTCTGACACTGCGGGTGTTTGCGGAGAAAACCCACTCAGGTACCGGATTGCGGGAGGCCCCAGTTCATGGTCGCAGAGCTCCCAGTGGCCTCAGGGGCCCGGCAGTGCCGTAGGGACCTGGGCTTGTGTGGGTAGGTGGCTGTGGCTCGCCCCTCCTCCCCCCAGACCCCGTCATCCCAGAAAATGGTGCCATTGCCCAGAACTGTGGTCCGAGGGTTAGAAGTGGGCGCATCGTGCAAAGGGCACGGAGCATGGAAGGCAGGAAGGTGCCAGGGGAGGGCAGGTCCTCCCCGGAGCGGGCAGCTCTGAGCGGTGAGGACTGGGCCGGGGGCAGCACAGGCTGATGGGACGGGAGGGTAGCGGCACGGAGTCCCAGCCACACCACCGCCACCACCACCGCCCCAGCCGGGGTCCCTAGGACCAGGATGTCTGAGGAGAGGCGGGGAGGACAGGCCCTGCCGGGCAGGGGACAGGGTCCGAGCACCAAGTGTGCAGGGTGTGGGTCCTCCGCGGAAAGCTGCCCATAACAGCTGAGAGGTTCTCCCGAGTTGTCATTGTTTACGTGCAAAAGCTCAGCAAACCCACAGCCTGGTCAGCGGCTGCTGCGCTGATGGGCATTTCTCTGCGCTGTCTAGTGTAGAAGCGGGAAGACTGGACAGCCCTCCAGCCCCAGTGCCTCCCAGGAGTCACTGGGTTCTGGCTGTGCTGGGTGTCCGGTGCCCGGGGCTGCCATGGCGCTGTGCGGAAGTCCTGCCCTCCCCATGCACCGCTCTCCGGGCTCCGGGGAGGTGCTCCGTGAGAGCGGGAGCCCACAGATCGGACTGCCACCGACCCCACCAATCCAGGCGGTTTGCCATTGGTGGCTCCCACAGGACAAGGCAGTCAGACGGCCGTGGATCCGTGGTTCGGCTGCTGTTATTATAACACACTGTGTAGACACACCTCGGTCTGGTGGTATAAAACGCGTGGACAGGGTGACTGTGCTTCTCCTGTTTATCCTCGGGGTAAGTCAGGTGTTGTACAGGCGGAGCAAAGGTCAGAAAGTCACACGGTCACACGGTAGCATGAATGGTGTTCACACACACACTGTCCCCTCCGCCCGCCCCGCCCCTACATTCTCACGGGCGACCCTGTTGCTTTAGCCGATGCCCATGTGAGAGCACTCGGCGTCCGGGATGATGTTCCAGACACAGGCAGCGGCCTCCTGCGGGGATGGCCCCGGGTCGAAGGGGCCTGGTCTGAGGTCACCCCTGGGGGCTCCATCCAGGACTGACCGCGTGGCCTCGGGACACACGGCCGCTCAGAGTGACCGTCACCTCGGGAGCCTCCCCAGACCCGAGGGAGCCCGGCGGTCACTGCGCCCAGGCTGAGGCCCTGTCTGCAGAGGCTGGTGTGGGTGGGGCCGGTCGGGAAGGTGAGGCCGTGTCTGGGAGAGCAGGGCAGGGAGCAGTGGCCGGCGTGTCGGGGCAGCGGGGGGCGGTGTCAAAGGGACCAGGCAGGCAGTGCCCACACTCCTGGCCGTGCCGGGAGCCGGAAGCTGCATCTCCCCTCGCGTCCTGCTGCTCCCTCTGCGGCTCTCTGGGAAGGAATGTGCAGCGGCAGAGAAACGGGAGAAAAGACCCAAGGCATGGCCCCCGTACCTCCTGATCGAGGGACACAAATCTGTGCGACACTGATCATCGCTGAGACCGCGTTCTGCATGACAGGCTTCCAGAAAGTGCTTCCAGACCTCCTGGCTGAGAGGGCGGGAGGGGCTGGGGGAGGGGGGAGAGGAGGGGGAGGGGGGGCGCTTCCGGCCCCTCCTCTGCGCAGGGGAGGGGCAGGGGTCTGGCACTGGCCGCTTTCCCCCCTCTGTCGGGCTGAGACCTTTGTTTTCAGATTGAGGCATTTGGGGTGGGTAAGAATGGGAAAAATGTGCTCTCCCTTCTCCGGATAATTGCCACAGGCCCTGCTTTTGTTTAAATTCTTGGAAACTCTAGTTGCGGCCTGTGAAGCGGGAGGCCTAGCCTGGAGCCTTCCACCGGGAGGATGTGGGCATCGCACTTTGGGCGCCCCGGAGGCCGCCGGCGGGTCAGCACGGGGACACCGGCCGGCGTGCCTTCTCCTGCGGGGCCAGGCCCGGTGTGCACAGCGAGGCTCTGTGGTTCCGGAGAGGCGTCCCAGCCGGCAGGGACGCAGGGGCGGCTGTCTGAGGGAGGGAGCCGAGGAGCAGGGGGGGGTGGGGGGGGAGCCTCAGCTTTCCAGCTGTGAGGTTGAGACCTGTCTGCTCAGTACCTGAAGGAGTTCAAGGTCACTTAGTCATGCCACCCAAGACGACCTTGACCTTGTGACAGGTTCTGTGATGCCCGGTGGGGGGCGGTGTCGGCCCGAAGCCGGTGTGTAGGGGCGGTGTTTCACCGGAGAGGAAGCCGTCCGGTTGTGCAGAGCCGGCAGCTCGGGAGGGGTTCTGCTCTGATCAGCTGTGGGACTTCCGGGAAGCTGCCTCAGATCACCATTTTTGCCTAGAGGCCCGGTGCACAAAATGCATGCGCTCAGGGGAGGGGGCCCCTCAGCCTGGCCTGCGCCCTCTCACAGCCCAGGAGCGCGCGGGGAGCGGACATCCTTAGCGCTGCACGGAGGCAGGAGAGGCTCCCCGACCAGCACTGCACTCGCCAGCCGTGAGCCCAGCCTCTGGGAGTTCCCTGAGCACCAGGGGCAGCTCCCGCATTGAGCATCTGCCCCCTGGTGGTCAGTGTGCGTCATAGCGACCAGTCACTGCCGTTTGGTTAATTTGCATATTAGCCTTTTATTGTATGTTTTTATTGATTTTAGAAAGAGAGGAAGGGAGAGGGAGTGGGAGAGGGAGACATTAATTGGCTGCCTCCTGCCTGCCTCCTACTGGGGATCGAGCCTGTAACCTGGTGCTCTGCCCTGACTGGGAATGGAACAGGTGACCTCTTGGTGCATGGGATGGTGCCAACCAGCTGAGCCACGCTGCCAGCCGGGCAAGTTACCTAGGATTCTAACCTGGCCCCTCTCGGTAGCGAGGGCTCAGAGCAAGCACCAGCCTGAGCCCCGCTCAGGGTCAGGTGGCCGGACCCTCCGCTCCCTGAGGCCCCTCGCCTCTCGGGCAGGGTGTCCCTCTGGAGGCGGAAGCTTTTACCTGGGGGTGGATGACCAGCCCAGTCAGGGGGCCGTGTGCTTTGGCCTCTCTGGTAATAACGACCCGCACCCGCAGGCAGCGGGCCTCCAGTCTCTGGGGGTGCAGGGTCAGAGAGGAGCCCGGCCCCTCTCCATAGCTCCCTTCTTCCCCTGCCCCCTGAAGGGGCAGCACCGCAAGGCCCTCCCCGAGGGCGGTGGGCTTGGGTGGGGCCGTACCTGATAAAACACCCCGCCCAGCCTCCTGGAGGTAGGGCAGTGTTTCCAGCTGGCGCCTGCTGTGACCTTGGGGTGTCCTTGGGTTTCCCTGCGTCACAGGGAGTGCGGAGGGAGAGCCCTTCTCTCCCTGCGGAGGGCGCGCCTTTGCCGGAGTGTCTGAGAGCCTGTGCCCAGCCCAGACTGCTGCAGTGGGGAAACCGAGGCAGGGATGAGCGGGCCCTGGATCTTGGGGTGCTGGCATCCACCTGCCTCGACTCCTCTGAGCATCCCTCTGCGGGGCCCTGCTCTCCCGCCCACCCTGGCCTCTCTGGATCCCGCACATTTGGAGAAGTCACATGACCCCCAAAGGCGCCCCCCCCCCCCCCCCCCCGCTCCCCGGGGGCCGGCCCGAGCGCTCTGGGCTTTCCGGCTGCAGGAGCCCGGCCCGAGGCCGCAGGTGGGCAGGGGGTGCGGCCTGCGCCTGTCCCCGCGGAGCGGGGAAGGGGAGAAGCTGTGCAGGAACCACACTGGGCCTGCCCCCGGGTGCAGCCCGGGAGCACTCAGCGGGGAGCCCCCTGGGCCCCCTGGGCCCCGGCCCGCCCGGCCCCGCGGGGAGGCCCCCGGGCGCTCGGGGCCGGCCCGCCCTGCTGGGCCGCATTGTTAGGGCGCGCGGCCAGGTGACCGGCCAGCGGCGCGGGCGCGATTGCCCCTGGCGGCCTCGAGGGGGCCCTGCGGCGGCGGGAGCGGGAGCGGGAGCACCGCCCGCCCCGCTGCTCTGCTCGCCGCCGGCCGGGCTGCTGCGCCATCGCCGGGACCCGCTCCAGGTACCGGGGCCGCTTTGTCTGGCTCGGGCGCTGCTCCGCGCCCGCGGAGGGACCTGGGTGCGGGGTCCGGGGCGCGGAGGGATCGGCGCGGGGTCCGGGGCGCGGGGTCCGGGGTCCGGGGCGCGGGGTCCGGGGCGCGGGGTCCGGGGTCCGGGACCCGGGACGGGCTGTGGAGACACGGTCCGGCGCCGGAGGGACTTCCTCGGCGGGATGGGGGCCGGGGCCGGGGCCGCGGCGGAGCGGCGGGCGGAGTGGGGGACGGGGCTGGGCTGGGCTGGGGCGCGGGCGGAGGGCGCTGTTGCTGGACTTCACTCTCGGGGACCGAACGCGGACTGCGGGCGGGGCCGGGCCGGGCGCCCCACCTGTGGCCGTGCCGCCCTGACAGCGGCGGAGGGACGTCTCCTGCGCCCGCGCCGCGCCGCCGGGCTTGGCTGGAAGGGACTTGGGAGTCGGGGGCGGGAGGACAGACCCCTCCGTCTGGGACGGCCGGGGCCCCCTCTAACCCGCTGCAACATGGAAGCGCCGTGTGGGCGGCAGCAACTGTGTGTGAGTGTGTGTGTGTGTGTGTGAGTGAGTGTGTGAGTGTGTGTGTGAGTGTGTGTGTGTGTGAGTGTGTGAGTGTGTGTGTGAGTGTGTGTGTGTGTGAGTGTGTGTGAGTGTGTGTGTGTGAGTGTGTGTGTGTGTGTGTGAGTGAGTGTGTGGGTGTGTGTGTGTGTGTGTGTGTGTGTGTGTGAGTGTGTGTGTGTGTGTGAGTGTGTGTGTGTGTGAGTGTGTGTGTGAGTGAGTGTGTGGGTGTGTGTGTGTGAGTGTGTGTGTGTGTGTGTGAGTGAGTGTGTGTGTGTGTGTGTGTGTGTGAGTGAGTGTGTGGGTGTGTGTGTGTGTGTGTGTGTGAGTGTGTGTGTGAGTGTGTGTGTGTGTGTGAGTGTGTGTGTGTGTGTGAGTGTGTGTGTGAGTGAGTGTGTGGGTGTGTGTGTGTGAGTGTGTGTGTGTGTGTGAGTGAGTGTGTGTGTGTGAGTTGGTGTGTGTGTGTATGGGGGGGAGGGCGCCCAGCCCTCACAGCTTTGATCTCTGGTGGCCCCATGAAGGCAGGACCTGCGGGACTCGCCCTAAGTGAAAGGCGGTGTGCAGGCAGGCGCATGCCTGGTGCGCAGCCCTCGGAACCGCTGCTGTGCAGTTGGGTCGGAGGTTTGGTCTGGATATCCCTGAAGTGCGGGCCGGGCGCCTATGGAACTGGGTGTGCTTGTCCCTGAGGCCCTGGGAGCTCATGTTTGCAAATCAATCAACAAGTATTAAAGGCTGTGCTGTGGGGCCTGCGGGCTGGAGGGGAGGGCTGCTGGCGGGGGATCTGGGCCTCTGTGGACAGTCCTGGCCCCAGACAAGGAGGTGATGACCGTCCTTTGAGACAGAACCAGCCCCGCTCAGACACACAGCCCGAGTCTGAGGGGGAGTGTTGGCCCTGCCTGCTTTCATTCCATCCGAATAACAACCCTGGGGGGTAGTCGGGGTTAAGATCCATTCTGCAGGTGTGCAAACTGAGGCAAAGCACGTGGCGTGGGTGGTGAGCCGGGACTCGGCCAGGACCGTGGGTGCCAAGGCCTGCCCCGCCCGGTGAGTGGATCCTCCCCTCACAGCGGGCCCTGGGTCTGGCTGCACCGGATTCTCTGTTTACACATCCCCCGCCGAAGAAACAGCTGGGCCCCGTTGGTGCTTCTGGTTGCAAATGGACTGACTCCTACTAAGTAGCTTTGGCACCTCATGGTTTAAATGGAGCCACTTGCAATGTGACCCTGGGCGCTGAAGGTCACTGGGTCAGAGTCTGTGCCCGGGCTGTGGCCTTGCTGGTGTTGGGGGTACAAATGGCCTGGGAGGGAGGCAGACTGGCCAGAGGGAGGAGGGGAGAGGCGAGGCCGAGATGGGAGCATTCTGGCCCAGCACGGGTGGAGGCCCCTCTCACAGGCAGGGGACCGAGGAGGAGGGCTGGGCAGCCCTCTGGCTCTGCCTGCCCTGCGGCCAGGAGGCAGGGAGCTCAGGGGGGAGCAGGGATGTCCCGCCACCACCGTGCTCCCTACCACCCCGCCCAGTGTCCCCCACCCGGTGTCCCAGACCCCTACTGGACAGGAGGGAGGGCGCCCAGGTGGCCACCGCCTGGGCCACTGTTAGGAGCCATAAGTATAGGGAGGGATTGACCGCCAGCATGGTGCCCCCTAGACCCTTAAAAAGAGTCATAGTAATTCTTTTAAAAAAGAAGGCAGTGATCCGGAACTACTGTATTTTGTCCCAATGGGCTAAATAATAAAAACATGTATGTGTCTGGTGTCCCTGTCAGTGGCCATGAAAAGGCCCTCTGGTGGAGCAGTCTTGAGAGCCACCACCTCCAGGAGATAGACCTTTGCTAATGTGTCCCCTGGGTAAGCAGCAGGATCTCCTGCTCCCAGCTCAGTAACTTCAAGGCATGGCTTTGTCTCCTTTCTTGGAATCGGGCAGAGGCTCCCTGAGCTTAAAAAACTCGCCTGTCCCAGGGCTGGTGGTCCAGGTCGGGTTGGAACCCAGATGTGTCTGGGGACAGAGCCTGGGCCTGGCCGTCATCCACAGAAGGTGAGGACCCACTAAATCCCTAGGGACCCGAGCCTGCGAGTGTGTGTGGGGTGTGGTGCTGGGACTTGTTCCTAAGACCAGGGGTCTCCAGGGGCTCCAACCGGTCCCGCCCAGAAAGGGTTCCGAGGAGCCTGGGGCCACAGTGGCCAGGGTTTCGCGGCAGCTGCCCCCTGGGGGTGGCAGGGGGGTACAGGGGGTCTTGCACCTCTGCACGGCCCCTTCCCTCCTCCGCTGCTCTAGTTCGGGGCCCATTTTGCTCGTGGAGGCTGCTGCCTTCCTCTTCCTCTGTCCTGGGAGAGAGGAGCCCCCACGCAGCCCCTGCCCAGCTTTGCTTTCGCGCGTGTTAGACCCCGGCACCCTCTCCTGCTTCCGGGGCCCGCAGTGCGGTCCCTCCGGCCGCTGCGCCTGCACGGGGCCCCTCGCTGTGCCAGAGCGCCCGCGGGTCTGAGGTTCGGAGGCCAGAGGAGTGCCCTCTGGCCGCAGCCAGACGGGAGCGGCCCACATCTGGCCGCTGCGCCCGGGCAGGCCGGGCCGTGCCGGGCCCGGCGGTTCTGCACACATTCCCCCGGAGCCGAACAAAAGGGCCCCATTGATGGTCCTGGCGCTGCTCTGGAATCCATCACCTCCCGAGCGCCCCCCCCCCACGGGGATCCTGGACGCAGATCAAAGGTGCGGCGCAGGCTCCAGGCTGGGAGGGGCCGCCGGCCACCACCACCTGGGAGAGCCGCCCTTTGTCACGGTGCCGCCCGTCCCCTCCCGCAGCCGGGCCGGCGGCTCTCGGGACCGCCACGGGCTCCCCGCCCGTGTGGTTGTGAGTGACCTCTGGGCCCGCACCGGGGTCCTGGGCTCCAGGCCCGGCCCTGCTGGAGCATCAGGCCCCGGCGTGATCCCAGGGGAGGCCGTGAGACGGCGGGGACAGGGCGAGGGGCTGTCACTCCTCGGAAGGTCGCAGGTGGGGATGCGGGAGAGGCCTGGGCAGTGCTTGGCAGGCTGGCGGGCCAGGCTGGCTCCGTGTGGCTCAGGGCGGGAGAGTCTCAGGTCGTGGGCGTGTCTTGCTCCTAAGTCGTCCTCTGACTCAGCCTACAAAGGGATTAGTCACCCACACGTGCGAGGCGGAGCAGAGGAGAAAGGACGCAGGAAGGAGGTGCTGCCCTCGGCGTGTCCCTCGCTTGCACTGGGCACGCTCTGTGCATCCGGATTACAAGCTGAGATCACACGCACTGTCTGGTGCCTTTTGGCATCGACGTGGCTGGGACAGCATTTCCCCCCGTGACAGCTGCGCTCACGCGTGTGGAGGACAGCACGGTGGGGGGGGGCTGTCCGTGGACGGCCGGGCTCGGTGACCATGGGGCCCGCAGTCACCCTTAGGGTCATCCAGGGGCAAGGGCCCGACTAGCCACGTCCTTGGAGGGACTGAAGGCCGTTCAAGGTCAAAGAACACACGCTTCTTTGATTGTGATGAAATACATGTAACAAAGTTTACTACTTTCATCATTTTTATTTTATTTTTAAAATACTTTTTATTGACTTCAGAGAGGAAGGGAGAGGGGGAGAGAGTTAGAAACATCAGTGATGAGAGAGTCATTGACCAGCTGCCTCCTGCACGCCCACATGGGATGGAGCCGTGACCCGGTGCGATCAGCACTGATGATCAGCCACTGAGCCGCACCGGCCAGGCCTAATCGTTTTTAAGTGCACAGCTCAGTGGCACTAAGCACTCCCATGTTGTGTGGCCGTTACCACGTCCATCCACAGTTCATCCTCCTGCAAAGCAGAGCCTGTCCCCATTACCCACTCACTCCCCAGCGCCCCCCGCCCCTGCCCCTGGCACCACCGGCTCCTTTCTGTCCCGATGAATTGGCTACTGTTGGGCCTCCTGAGAGCGGACTCCACAGCGTCTGCCTGTGACCGCCTGTTTCCTCCGCATCACGTCCCAGGGCCCGCCCGAGCTGCCGCAGGTGCGATGGCCTCCCCCGGCCGCGTGCTCCCCCTCCCCCCGCCGCGTGCTCCCCCCGCCGCGTGCTCCCCCGGCCGCCTGCTCCCCCTCCCCCCGCCACCACATGCTCCCCGCCGCGTGCTCCCCCCGCCGCGTGCTCCCCGCCGCGTGCTCCCCCGGCCGCCTGCTCCTCCTCCCCCCGCCACCACATGCTCCCCGCCGCGTGCTCCCCCCGCCGCGTGCTCCCCGCCGCGTGCTCCCGCCCCCCCCCCCCCCCGCCACGTGCTCCTCCCCGGCCGCGTGCTCCCCCTCCCCCCGCTGCGTGCTCCCCCCGCTGCGTGCTCCCCCCTCCCCCCGCTGCGTGCTCCCCCCGCTGCGTGCTCCCCCGGCCGCCTGCTCCCCCTCCCCCCGCTGCGTACTCCCCGCCGCGTGCTCCCCCCCCCCCTCGGCCGCGTGCTCCCCCCTCCCC